CACCGGACTGCAGGCCGTGCTCGTAAAAGTTGTCGCCTGCGGTGCGGTGCGGGAGGCAGGGGGTGACAGAGAGGTGGCAGGGCCGGCCAGCCAGCCGGAGCGGCAGTCAGCTGGGGAAGCGCCGCGGAGGGGTCCCGTGCGCCACGCAGCAACAGGAGCTGGTGCAGGGGACGCGCGGCCGACCGCCTGCCGTGCCCTGCCTGCGTGCCTGCCCAGCAAACGGCCGGCTGGCTATCTAGCCTGCGCGCTGCAGGCGCGGCCCCACGGACCTGTGCTGATCACAAACTGGGCTGGAGGGTCGGCGGCCGCCACCCTCCCCATCAACTCCGCCACCTCACTCTGGTTGGAGCCGCCCTGGCGCCCCCAGTCGCCGACCTGCGGGTTTCAGGGTTTTAGGGTTTTAGGGTATCAGGGCAGCGACAATTTGCTGGGGATGGGCCCAGGTGCCTGCCTGGCTGGCCGCAGGGCTGGGGCGCCGGTTGGCTGGCTGGCTGGCTGGCGGGGCCGTGCTCGCCTGCCCGCCGGCTGAACCGGGGCCGGCCCCTGCCTTTCCCCTCCCTGCAGGCCCCTGCTTTTTGGGGCCCTGAGCGCTCTCCTGCAGCCGCCAGCACGCCTGCCTGCCTGCCCTCCTCAGGCAAGCAGCGCAGCGCAGCCGCAGGCCTGCAGGGCAGTGCTCACCGCCAGGAAGCGGAGGGTGTAGCCCGCTTTGCCGCCCGCCGTGCTGCCCTCTTCGCTGGGTGCCGCTCCGGCCTCTCCCTCCCCTTTCTCTGTGGCTGGCGCCTCCCCCTTGCCCTCCTCCTCCTCCTCGCCGCTGTCCCAGGCGTCGCTGCCGGAGCCATCCCACGGGCTGGCGCCAGCCCATTCGGTGGTGGGAGCGGGCACGCCGCCGCCCTCGGCGAGGCCCTGCTCGCTGGCGGCCGGCGCCGCGGCTTCCTGCCCGCCGCCGCCGCCATCGTCGCCACCCTCGTCAATCCCGCCCTCGCTCTCGGTGCTGCCCTCCTGCTCGCCGCCCTGGCCGCCGCTTCCTTCGCCGCCTGCCTCCTCGCCCTCGCCTCCTCCGCCGCCGCTCTGCTCCGTGCTGCTGCCGCTGCTGGTGCCGCCGCTGCTGGTGCCGCCGCCTTGGTCGCCGGCGGCGGCCGCGCCGGCAGCGGCCGCGCTGTCGCTGCTTGCGACCGCGGCGCTGCTGTTGTGCTGGCTGCCCAGCACCACGCTGGCCACCCCCACCCCCACCACCAGGGATGCTAGCAAGCCGAAGCAGAAGAGGCGCTTGCGCCGGCTGGGGCGGTCTTCGGGGATGCCTGGCAGCAGCGGGGCGGCGGCACACGTGGCGGCGGTGAGAGCCACGGCCGGCGCCCCGCCCCGGCTGCTCCTGCTGCCGGCCTGGGACCTGGCAGGGGTGCCCCAGGGCGGCAGCAGGCGCTGCCACAGGGCTGGCTGAGCTGGAGAGGCGGCCATTTGGGTGGGCAGCGCGGCGAGGGGAAGCGGTGGCGGCGGTAGGTGGCAGAGGGTGCACAGTTGGCTGGTGCAAGTGCCCAGCGATGTGCAAAAGGCCCGGCAGCCGTCCCTAAACAGCTGGAGCGGCATGGGCGCTGCGAATATGCGATAAACAGCACCGCCAGCAAACTTGGCTCCCCCAACTGGTCCCAAGATGGCTGCTGGCCTCTGGTTGAGCTCCTCACCCTTGGTGTGTATTCCAAATGGTGCGGGGGCAGAGAGCGGGGCGTTCTGCTGCAGGGGCGTGTCGTTGCTGTCCCACACATTAGCCAGGTCCTCCCTAGAGCTGGCTAGATTCAATGAAGCCCGTTCCCCGCTCATGATGCAATTTGCCTGGGGTCAGCAGCGAGTCTCAGCTAAAATGTCTCCGGCTGCCAGGCTGGAGCGTTGAAAGGGTGCGTTGAAAGGGCAGACCCCACTTACCTCTGCGATACTGGGATCTGTTCCCAGGAGCGATCGGCTCATCGGAGCCGGCGGCCAGCGCTGCACACCCCGTCTGCCAAGAGATCTGCTTCCCCCGCCCTCCCCTGGCCCCTTGCCGCCCTCTCCCTCGAATATCGCGTCTGGGAGTGCCCCCGTGACCACCCGGGGCAGGATGGCGGAGCTGGAGAAGCTCAGGAAGGAGCTGGCGAGCAAGTGCGTTGCCTCCCTGCTCAGTAATTTTCGCTGTGAACCTGCTCCAACGGGGCGGGGGTGGCTTGGATGCCGCGATGAACGCTCCGCACCGCGCTGCAAGTGCCACAACGCCGGCAGCGCCCGCGCCCGCCACCCGCGCCGCTCGCTGCCTCGCCACGCCTCCTCCCCCCTTGCCCCGCACCCCTCTCCTCCCCTGCAGGGTCAAGTCGTATGAGGGCAAGCTGGCCACGTTGACCGCCATCAACAGCGCCCTGCAGAGCGAGAACGAGGACCTGCGGCGGCAGCTGAAGGCGGCGGCGGCACCCACCACCGCCACGGGTGCGACGCCGCGGGCCCGCCGCCGAGCTGCCGCCGGGCCGGCAGCAGGCGCAGCATGGGCCGTACCGCGTGGCTGGGCTGCAGCTGCCGGCTGCCCCACGCTGTTCTGATCGCTGCCGCCGTCGCCACACGGTGCCCAACCCCACCACCCGCCATCCAAACCATCGCCTCGCCATACACGCCTGTACCGTAGCCGCCTTCACCTTAGCTCCCCCACCCCCACCCCACCACCACCACCACCCTGCAGAGGCGGAGGTGGCGGAGCTTCAGGAGGAGTTTGCACGGCGGCTGGGCGCCGCTGACCGCACCATTGCCCAGCTCTCTGATGACAAGGAGCTTCTGAGGGCGCAGCTGGCGGTGGCCAGCCAGGGCAGCGGCGCCAGCGAGTCCCGGCTGGCGGAGCGGGAAGAGCACATCCAGCAGCTGCAGTGAGCCGGGTGGAGAGGCGGCAGGCCGCGTGTGTGTGGGGTGGAGATTCTGGGTGCCGGGTGTGCGGCGGCCGGGCGGCAGGTGCAGCGGGCACTGCTTGCTGCGTGGGCGGGGCTGGGCGGCGGCTGCCTGGTGTACGGCAGTGGTACTGTGGGCCGGGGGTTGCGCGGGCGGTAGCGGCGGCTGCCAGCCAGTACCGCGGGGGTGGGCCGACGGCCGGCGCCGCCCCTGCCGCGGCGCCGCGCAGGGTGGAGGGCGAGAAGCTGTCCCGCAAGAATGGAGAGCTGGAGGCAGCTGCGCGGCGGGTGCGGGCCCAGCTGCGGGACGCCGAGGCCGACAGGTAGGCGGCGCGCCTTTCTTTCCTGGGGACGCCTGCCTACCTGCCTGCATGTATGCATGCTCTATGCGTGTGCGCTGCCTGCCTGCCCGCCTCGGCAAGCTCAGCCGTGGCTGCATCCGGCACTGCCCGCCCTGCGATCCTCAGGCGCCTGCGGGGCTGGCTCCCCGCTTTCCTCCTCCCGCCCGCAGGGAGAAGCTGGGCGGGCGCATCGCCAAGCTCGAAACGCAGCTGGCGGCCGCCAGCGAGCGCGCCGAGCGCGCCGAGCAGCAGCTGGCCAGCCGGCAGGAGGAGATGGAGGAGGAGGTGCGGCGGGTGCGGATGGAGGCGGCGGCGGCGCTGGCGGCGGTGCGCCAGGTGGCGGCCGCCGCCAAGGAGCGCACCGAACAGGAGTCGGCGCGGTGAGCTGGCTGGAGGGCGGTGTGTGTGTGTGCAGGCCTGGCGCTGTGCCCGGGGCATGTGTCTGTGGCGGTGATGCCGCTGGTACTGATGCCTGTGTGGGGAGGAGTTTATTGTGTGTGTTGTTGTTGTGAAGGAGAAGAGTGGTGGAGGGTGTGTGGGGTGGTGGAGCGAGCAGGGCATCCCCGCGGCGTCTCCCGCTGCTTGCTGAGGTGGCCGGCCGGAGCCCTGCCCAGCCCCCAGCCCCCTGCCGCCGCCCCGCGCCACTCACGAGACTGCCCTCCTGCCTCCCCTGCCTGCCCTGCCCTGCCCTGCCTGGTGCAGGGAGAGCGAGGAGGCTCTGACGGCTACCATTGAAAGGGAGGCGGAGCTACGGGCGGCGCTGGCCGAGACAAACATCCGGTTTGAGCGGGCGGCGGCAGGTGGGGCGCCCCGGTGGCAGTGTGTGCGTGGGTGGGAAGGGTTGGGTGGTGGGCGAGGGGCGCCGCCGAGCCGCCGCCTGAATCTCTGTGCCCTGCCTGCCTGCCTGCCTGCCTGCCTGCCTGCCTGCCTGCCTGCCTGCCTGCCTGCCTGCCTGCTTGCCACACCCAGCCAGCCACCCACCCGCATACTTTCCACCCCCGCTCGCTCCCACCCTGCTGCAGACTGGGCGGACCGAGAGGTGGAGCTACGGGGAGAGGCTGCTGACCTGGAGCAGCGGCTGCGGCAGGCGGAGGGCGCTGCTCAGGCGCTGCAGAGCGGCGCGGGCGACGCCACGCGCCCACTGCTTCGCCAGATAGAGTCGATGGCTGCCGCGGCGGCCGCGGCGCAGGCGGCGGCGCGCGAAACCGAGGCGCAGCTGCGCCTGCAGCTGCGGGCGACCGCGCAGCAGCAGGCGGCAGGCGCCGAGGCGCTGCGACGCGCCGAGGAGCGGTACGCGGCGGCCGAGGCGGCCGGGCAGGCGGCCGGGCAGGCGGCCGCCGCCGCGCGGAGCGCGGCGGCGGACGCGGAGCAGCGGCAGGGCGAGGACCGGCGGCGCTGCGAGCAGCTGGAACGCGACTTGGTGGCGCTGCGGCAGGCGGCAGAGGCTGCCGCCGCCTCGGCTGCAGAGCAGCTGGCGGAGCAGCGGGGCGAGGTGCAATCGCTGCAGGAGCAGCTGTGGGACGCGCAGGAGGAGCTGCGGGGCGTGGCCGCCGCCGCGGCAGCCGCCAGCGCGGCGGCGGCGGCGGCGGGTGGTGCGGGGCGCGCGGCGCAGGGCGCGTCTGCCACGCAGCAGCAGGGGCAGCAGGGGCAGCAGCAGCAGCAGCAGGGGCAGCAGGTTGGCGGCGCCGGCAAGTGGCTTTCGGCGGTGAACGTCCGCGAGGCGGCCGCCGCCAACGGCACCACCGACCGTCCCTCCTCTGGTGGGTGGCCTGGGCTCGCGTGATTGGCTGCGCTGCCAGGGGCTCTCCCTGCCTGCCCCGCTCCCAAGCCCCTGAGCTTATCTTCACCCGCCCACCCTTGCCCCTGCCCCGCCGCCGCCGCCGCCTGCACCTCCGCCACCACCACCGCCGCCTGGCAGATGAGGAGGATGAGATGGAGGTTCTCGTGCGCTCCATGACAGCACTGTCCCCAAGCAGCAGCAGCCTGGCGGCCGAGGCGGCGGCGCTCTCGCCCCGCCCGCACCTGCCGGTCAGCACCTCGGCATCTGACGCCCGGGTGGCGGCGCTGGAGCAGCAGCTGTCGGCCGCGGAGCAGCAGCGCGAGGCGGCCAGCCAGCAGCTGCTGGCGGCGCTGCAGCGCGCGGAGGCGGCGGCCGGCGACGTGGCGCGCTGCGCCGCACTGCGACGCCAGCTGCGAGACGCCGAGGCGAGCGGCGGCGGACAGCGGGCGGCGCCTGCGCTCCTGCTGCCGCACCTCCACCTGTGCTGTGCTGAACGGCAGATGCCCTGGGCCTGATCCCGCATTCCCCCTCCCTGGATCACCATCTCGCTTTCTCTTTCTTTCTTCCGCCCCGCAGGCGCGGCTGTCGCTCATGCTGGAACTGCTGGGGGAGCGGAATGAGCGCATCGAGCAGCTGGAGCTGGACGTGAAGGTACGGTACCGCCGCACCGCAGCTGTACCGCAGGCGGCTGCCTGCACTGCTAGGCAGGGTGGCAGCATGCCGCTGCACCTCGCAGCGCACCCCTACCTGGTGGTCGCTATCACCTGCGCCGCCTGGCCCCGGTGACACGTGGGCACCCTGGCAAGCCCTGGCCTGCCTGCCGCCGCCTTTCCACCTGGCTGCATGTCCGCCTCTGCTTTCCACCCTGGCTGCAGGAGATGAAGCACATCTTCCACCAGCAGCTCAGCATCGCGGCAGACCAGCTGCTGGCGGCGCGGCAGCAGCTGGAG